TTCCTGATGTTCGGTGGAGTTATTACCAAAGACACAAATATCATCCATATACACAACACATCCTTTGAGACCTGATAACGATAGAGTAATAAATTTTTCCCAAGCTGCTGGGGCACTACTAAGGCCCATTGGTAGCACGTTGTATTGATACAAACAGTCTTGCGTGAGGAAATTAGTCAAATGTCGGCAATCTGGAGTCAGTGGAATTTGTTAGTATACACTGCGAATATCCAGCTTTGAGAAAAGTTTGGCGTTTGATAGCTTAACCATCAACTCATCGATAGAAGGCAGAGGGAACTTGTCCACAAGTATAGGTCGATTAAGCGCTCGAAGGTCAGTGCACAAACGAATAGCGCCATCTTTCTTTTGAACGGCAACTAGTGGATGAACCCCTTCAGAACACTTTATGGGTTCTATCAAGTCTTCCGTGATCATATTTTTCAAAGCTTGCGACAACGCTTCTCGCTTGGCTAGATGTACAAGCCTAGGTTGAGAAATGCTGAACGGTTTGTAATCCGCGCACAACCGAATGCGGTGCATTGCTTTTTGGACTCTACCAATATCCAGAAGAAAGAGATTTGGGTAACTGGAACGTAACGAATGAAGGTTGATACTGGCAATGGTCATCCGGCTGACGCATGGTGATACGTTCAATAAGACCATGGCATTACGTCCCAATAGAGGCTTACTATCAGTTTTAGAGACGTAAACTTCAACTATACGCTTTCTGCTGTTTATAAAAAAACATTGAAACCGTAACAAAATCGAGTATCTGGACATCACCATTGGAGTAGCTGCTGAAAGTGTAAACGGAAGGATCTACAGTTAGCTGACCAAAATGCTGTTTGTAAAAACAATATGACACAGCTGTGATTGCTGAGGCGGAATCTAGTTCCATGTCTAGACAAATGGTATTGTTTCTACCTGCAAAAACACAACGAATATTTGTCGAAGGTAGTTTGGATTCTTGAGTTGCAGACGAAAGTGGATGTTCGCATTCATTAACAACACATATAGATTGTTCAGTGGTGACCGGAGAAGCTCTGGAACCATTTGCAACATCAACCAAAGAAATGGCGCGGAAACGACAAACCCGAGCAAAATGACCGGTCTTACCGCAATTCCGGCAGATTTCACTCTTTGCAGGACATGACTTATCATTTGCACGATGTTCAGCATTTCCACAACGGTAACACTTATTTCTAACTGAGGATCGCGTCAGAGAGCGTGTAGAATCCAAACGGTCAATTTCAGTAGCTCTGTGTTAGAGAGGAAAATTTTGTTTTGTTCCGTGACTGCGACCTTCGCGCGAGCCACGTCACAGGCCCTGTCCCATGTGAGCTTTTCTGCGTTCTCCATTAAGAGACTCTCTCTGATCCGAGAATCCGTGAGACCAGAAATCAATTGTTGTATTAGCATGGTTTCTTCCACTTTTTTTCTTAGGAATACTATTGTAGTCACACTTTCGAACAGAACAAAGAAGACGGGAAATGAATGCATCCACTGATTCACCAGATGCTTGTTTCAGCTGCGAAAAGTTGTACCGAGAAGTGTAGGTGTTCACTCGAACACCCCAATGTTTATCGAGGGCCGATAAGGCCTCTGTCAACGTGGGTTTCTCCCGCAAGTTTAGAGCATCAAATATACGTCGACCCTGTGAGTCGAGGTGCAAGCGCAAAAACTTTAAAGTATCCTCCGTTTTCAGCATCACGGATGGATTGGGAACTGGCAGCACAGAAATATAATCTAAAAAACTAATTTTCCAATCTTCCCAGCATTCTGCATTTGGGGTAACCGCAGTTTCAGTCCAAAAGGGTGAAGAGGCAGTAGCATGCAAAGACATCGCTAACACTCGACGCCAATTTGTTGTATCCCGAAAAAGCAGCACCGGAACGTATGTATGGGCAAAACTGTCCGCACACTCGCGAAGTACGGTTAAATCGATAAAGGTTCGCATTGCAACCAATCAAATGCAAGATCACATGATAGGCCAACGAGTGCTACCTAGAAGTGTGAGTAGGATAAGCGAATCGAGGGCAAAAACAAGTCAAAGTTTTGAACGCGACAGTCAGCAATTCTCTCTAGCCTTCATCAACACCGACCTGGTGATAGGCATGGGAGGAGTCGAGCATGGCGAAACTTTTCCCACCATTCAACTTGGCAAAGATATCCTCTTGTATTGGAAGGAGTATGATGATCGTCCAGTGCGGCGTCCAGGCCAGTTGGAAAATCGACGCAGACGCGCAATTTGCCGTTCGCATTTCCCACAGCAACGAGCAACGCAGCTCATGAAGAGTAGTTCACTGGTATGATAACACCGATGCGCTCCAGTCGGCCTAGCTCCTGATCAACTGCTGCCGGTGCTGCCTACGGTACCGGTCATTTGCCCTGAAGACTGGGTTGGTTCTTTCACGAAGGCACAACTTTGCTTTGAACTTAGTGCAGTGACCGAGATCATCTTCAAACAAGAAGGCAAACATTTGCTTCCATTTTCTCGTCATGTGTTCTGTCGACAAAAATACATGGACTAGATCGATTTGGATGCGATTGCAAATCTGATTCACCGGGACATCAGACAATCGTAGCTTTTCCATCTAGTCAAGCCAAAGGAGGTTCAAGTTTGGTTTCTCTGACAAGTAGCAGCTTTCGGTCTCTTCCACTATGATAAATGCAATCTTGCAGATTGTTTCTGCGACCAGCCTCAGAACTCCACCAGCTACATTGTGGTCGACTTCATTGGATTCAACCCGCTTCGGCCTCAATGTGGCTCCAGGTATTTTTGGAAATGATCGTTCTGTCTTATACCGCATCGAAATACAGCCTGGTTGGGAACCAGTTTATGAGCACAGTGATGAATCGGCGGCGAGGTCTAGAATCACGATAAAAAGCGGCAATCACCGATAGGTATTCTGCGTCAGGCTTCTGGAGGTTTTTCCTTCGTTAGAACTGCTTCACGTTTCTTGGCCGAGAATGATGGCAAAAAGCTTCCTTGTGGTTGCGTCTATGGTACTTCTTACAAATGCGACGCTTGAATGGGCAGTAATGTGCAAAATGCTATTCACCACATGACCAATAAACTGTAGGCGGCTTGCTCGGCGGTCTGTTGAACGGCTTGTTCGAGCCAGCCTTTCTCGCCTTTGCACAGCATGAACAGTATCGGCAATGGTGGGGTGACTTTGCTCAATCATAGCGGTGTCGTGTTCCTAAGTGATCAACCTTTGTGTTCGCCCACGACAGTCTTTAATGTCAAATCTGGATCTTGATCCAGCTTAGCAAGGAACCGAGTGCGGATTTCCGCGTTGCACGGGGACTGAAAAGCACTGACAAATATGAGACATTTAAACAGGTCATCCGTCAAACAGCGTAACTTGAAACGTTCACATTCACGGTTAACCATGTCTGCTAATGCCCCATAATCGTCCACATCCCGCTTAACAGCTTTTAGACATTGTTAGCGAATGCTAAACAAAGACCTCGACTCACCAAAAATTTCTTTCAGTGGTGCCACTGCTTCGTTGAAAGTGATGTCCTTCGGCTCTTTGGGCAGGATGTGACCAACGAATCTTGTATATTCATTAGTACCGAACTTACGGAGCAAAAGACGCACTTACCATCAATCATCCTGGCAGCTGAAATCCGTCCGGAACATGTCCTTTCAGTGCTTGAACCGCGCCCCGTAAGTGCAGTCTGAATCAGCATCATAATGAAATTCATTGATTGCATTCGTAAGAAGATCAAGTGAAACAACCCGTGTGTCCGGCGTAGCTGCTCCCTTTGACTGTACATTCAAGCATTGTATCAAACTTTCTGTCAGTTTCACATATGCTTTCATCTGGGGTCGTTGCTGAAGAAGTAGCTTTTGAAAACGTTCAGCTAAAATATTCATTTCCGTCGCCATTGTTAGATCAACTTTTCTCTTTATTCCGAATTAAGGACCCAAAATTCTCCGAAAGACTTCTAGCGCAGGCGAAGGAAAAGGTGTTGACCAAAACGCTGTACAAAAGCACCAGAATACCAAATTTATAAGTCGCTTGAAAATATTCGGCTTCTAGAAAACGAAGTTTCGCTGGCGAACTTAGTAGCTTCATTGCCAAACCTCCGTATGCTGCCGATCACGTGAAGGAATGGAAGGTTCCAGAATCTTCGAAATCAATGCACAGTCGAACTTAATCGATTAGTTGCTGACATAATGGGTTTTTCCTTGATGTTTTTATCTTATCCCGGACAGAATGCGTAATCCATGCCGGGCAACCCTGGTAGAAACACGATCGCACCGCACTGTAGACTATTCGTCGCGGAACAACAATGCACGTTAGGAACTTGTTCCACCTCCCCCAGAAACCTATGGAAAAAGTTCAGTGAGTGTACAGCTAACATTCTTGAGATTTTCGGAGCGGTATAATGGTATTTTTGATACTGAAAACGCCTACCACGCTTTTCGTCATCACATGAGCCTCAGGTAAAACGCGAACCCTAGAGGCCATCATCTTTATCTGTTTACACCCTATACCCTGTTGATATTTTCCTTGTAGCGTTTTCGCCTTCCGAGTATCTCAACCTTGGAACTCTTTTCCAATTCACATTATGTCGCCTCATACATCACTATTCTTAACCTGACCTGACGGCACACTATCGCAGTGACTGTCATCCCCATCGAGTGACGACCTACTGAGAAACAAACGTTATACTCATCTGATTTCTTCATGAGACCCAAGCATGCGTACTTGCATCTGTTCTTAGGTACAGCTCTTACCGAATACAGTAACACGCGGTGTAACTTACTGACATCGTTTTTCTATTCTACTTGTCCCCCTGACTATCCTATGGGACTTGTTAACTAATCCATTGCTCCATCGAGTGGATTTTGTCCTTTTGGTCTGTCCGTATGTATGAGGCTTCTTTCCATTACTCTTCAAAGAATGTTATGGTTTACTAACTAGATCTAACGAAAGTGAATTTATCAAAACCAACTGTGCGAAAAAAAAACTTTTTGATCTTACCATAATTGTCCTTCGGGTAGTCCACCGTGACCTGTTGAGCCAACGCGTTAATGAACTTCACACAATTTAGCCCTAGATACCAAAGCAATCAGAAATTGTTAGACCGCATACTAGGCATACTAGGCCGCATACTAGCAATCTGGCAAATGTGTTGTTGTAAGTGAAGTTAAACTTCTACTTTAAGTGATCATTACTTACTGTTCTTTACTGCTCACCTCGCCAAACGGCGATATCAAAGTGTGTGGAAATCAAACAAACGGTTACGGAACCATTGAAATCACACATAAAGACGGTAAGCCTTAGTAGCCGATTGCCAGTTCATGATCTCGGCATCATCTCTGCGCGATTGTCGTATATATCGCCAGTGATGATAGATAGACATCCTCCCCGACTACCTGTGTCCCTGTCAACCATGCGTGAGTGTCGCACCCTACAAGGTTTCCGTGATTGGACCAACATGTATCGATTGACTGAATGAAACCAAGTGGCCTGGCTGTGAGTGACCGCATTACTGAATACACTTTTTCCTTCTCGTGTTGTGTACGGTATGCTCCTGTTCGGTTCGTTGGGCATGCACCGTGTAGGCTACAAAGGTGGCGTTGCAGATAAACCCAGTGATCTTACTGTGGTACGACACTCACGTTCACATTCACCGGGGAGTCCATGTACGAAATCTATGGAAATGTTCTGTATGTAGTCTCAGTTATAGCTTTCCAGGTTCCGCTGCATGAGTTCATCGAATTTTCGGTTGATGAGTGGGGGAAATTGCAAGCGCTAATGTCTTTTAGGTGTACGGATGTCATAACTCGGACATTAATAAACCGAGCCGCATGCATATTTGCAGTTCTATACACGAAAACAGATAGATGTGTCAGAGAATTGTGAATCCTACATCCAATGTAGCAGTGACTTATTGTGGATAAGGAATTTGTTGCTTCGTGTGTGTCGTTGTTTATTCCGGTTGAATTTGACAAAGTTCTCGGTTTATTTCGAAAAACTTGAATTCCGAGAGTTTACTAACGTTACGTTGCATGCAAGGAGGCTATCATCCATACGTTTAGCCATCCCGGGTGCAACGATTGTCAACAAACCCGGAGAAGGTCACCCATTGTGGGATACTGTGTGATGCAATTACAAATTGTTGTTGCTTTGATTGTGGGCCACATCGGGCCGACTGTTGAACACAGTCAGAGTTGGTGAAGCCGGTTGTTCTTAGAGGGAGATTTCAAGACCTTCATATACAAGGGGGAAAAACTTCGAAGTGATAATTAATATAATCTCATTTTTCCACTAAATTAAATTAGTGGCTTTTCGGATTTGTGTGAGGTCCATCGCAGCCAGTTTCCAAATCAGATAGCGGTCCACATGCCCGGAAAAGCACTAGACTGCAGTTTCAGCCTGTTGGGCATCGTCAGTAGTGCGCATCCATCGGATCCATCAGGATTCGAACCCATGACCACCAGCAGCTTGAACCGCCAGTCAGCAGCTTATGCCACTGGGCCACGAGGGACAGCTTCGGACCGTCATGATTTACAAGCCAACTGCGATATAGCGTGTCTTATCCTCCACTGCCATGCAAGTTACGAACGTTGTGGAGGACAGGGTTGGCCCCGAAAGACACGACGTTCACTAACAGTAGCTATGTACGACATAGCATTTAGAAACTGTCAGGGCGGATACAATTTGATGTACTCATGAGTAGGGGATTTTGATGTAATTGTGTGAGGTCCATCGCAGCCAGTTTCCAAATCAGATAGTCGTCCACATGCCCGGAAAAGCACTAGACTGCAGTTTTCGGATTTATATATATAAATATATGTATATATATATATATATATATATATATATATATATTCTGTACCTGACCATTACCATTATACAATCATTATACAATCGACAAAGTGCAACAACACATAGAAAACCAGAACAAGAAAGGCAAAACAGGAAGTCGGTGCAAGAGTTAGGTGGGTTTGTGTTGTGTGGGCAGAGAGCTTCCCGGTTGACCGGGCCGAGGAAGAGAATTGACTTAAGGGCCCCACCTCAAATCTCTGGTCTTAAAGCCCTGATCCGCAAGGCAGCGGGGCGATTCAAGTATGTTGTTGAATACGAGGACCGTTGACAGCCAGGTGACTCATTCAGTGAGCAATTAACAATTATTTCTCACGGGATGAAAGCAAGTGTAAAATAAAAAATCGAGTGTAAGTGTGCAAAAATACACGGGATGCAGTGGTCGTTGATATAATGCATGCGCAAAATAAACTATGGTCGCTTACTTGGGCCTATTTGATACCTAGACCCTGCAGAAAGGCATGACTGGCGTAATCCACAATGGCGAAGTTTAGGTAACAAAGTGCTGGGAGCTAAGTGCAACATCTAATCGTTTTTTTTTTGAAAACATCCAAGGTAGAAGTGGGTATAAGTGAGTCTGGCATTGCGTTCCAGAGTTGACAAATCCGAATGGAAAAGTAATTACGTCGACACTCTAGACGGCTATATTGTTCCCCCAATTTCAAGCCGTTACCCCTGAGCTTCGTGTTGTGCTTCAGTTTCAGCAAATGGCGGCATACATGGTCAAGGCCATACAATATTTGGTGCACTAATATGAAATCGTCGCGCAGCCTTCGATAGCGTCCGCTGAAAATCCCCCAGCAACTTCTGCCTTCGGTGGTAAGAGTGATAGCGCAGACCCTTGACATCCTTTGTTGCTCTTCGTTGTGAGGCCTCTAATGCCTCTAAGTCGCGCTCCAAGCAAGGTTGCCAAGCTTGAGTAGGGTATTTAACGTGCGGGCGCACGTAGGAATTGTGCGCCATTGGGAAGATTGATGGGTCAAATCTGCTGAATTCCCTTCGCAGCAAGCCGACGTGCTGGTTGCCTCTTTTTTCAGCTATCTCAGCCAGTTTTGCACAGTTGAGGTCGCTCTGTAGTTTACACCAAGGTCATGTTCCTGGGAGCTGGTCTGCAATCTGGCTGTCCCAAGCAAATAGGTGTAGTTATGTTTATGGCGTAATTGCACAGTGCGACATTTGTCTACCTTGGATAGTACGGCGGTTTGAATTGACCAGTTCGACACTGTGTTAAGATTGCACTGGAGCTATTCGCGGTCGTCCGGTACTCCGATCCTTCGCCATGTCTTGATATCATCCGCGAAAAATAGGAAATCGGAAGCAATTGGTCTTGCTACATCATTAATGAACACCAACAATAGACGAGATCCAAGCACCGAGCCTTGTGGCACACCACACAGCACATCGATTGCATCGGACCGACCTTCCCGGACTCTCATCTCTAACCATCGTTCGTGTAGAAAATTGCCAATCCAACTCAGGATTGGGTCGCCAATGCCGTAGTTCCGAAGCTTCTGAAGGAGAAGCCGATGGGCTAAGCGATCAAACGCTTTTGAGAATTCCAGGTAGATGACATCGACTCCTGCGTCATCGTCAACAGGTTCAATCCAGCTATTACGTGCAAGTAATAGGTTAGTATTACACGAATGCTTTTGACGAAAGCCATGTTGCTCTGGGGCTATTAAGTTGTGGCTTTCCAGGTATTGTGTCAGCGCATCTGCGATGATTGATTCCATCACTTTGGATAGTACGGGAAGTAGTGTTATTGGACGGTAGTTGGCAAGATCAGTGCGACTACCTCCTTTATGGATAGCAGTGATGACTCCTCGATTCCATACTGGTGGAATATGGTTCTCCTCTAGACATCGCTCATAGAAATCGGCCAGTGATTCTACTAGATCACTAGCTACTGCCTACAGAGCCTTTGGTCGGAGGTTGTCGGCTCCATGAGAAATGTGGGTACACAATGATAATAACTTCTTCAACACAGACTCCACAGTGCAGGTGATGTTGTCTAAATCCGACGGTGGATTAATAGCAACGAGGAGAATAGTTGGGCTCGTTACCTGCTGAAAAGTTTAGGAGTAATGAAGATATAGGGGGTCGATTGCTGCCATTGCTGACCGCCGGCATCCATAAGCTGTGACTATTGCTGGAACCCCCACTTCACCTTTCGTTAACGTGCCTGCACAAAACTTTGCGTTTCGTGCATGATCGCGTCATTAACTCCTGCTGATGCGTGACATTGTCCTCGTGGATTAATTTCACCCTGAATTTACTACGTGGCAAGTAAGTAGTCCAGGTTTCAGCATTCAGTGGCCAGGGAGTTTGTTCATTCGCCCTGCGTTAGGTACTCATCTCTGGTTACAGAAGTGAGTGGTCAGTGACCCGATAGCCGGTCACATTGGCTTTGAAACACCGCCGTACAGGCTCTTGTAGTGTGTAATGAGGAACCAGGTGACCATCCCATAACTAACCACACTCTGAGATGGTGCCACTAATTGCCTGCGACTGCTTATTTATCTCACTTACAAAGCAAAGTTATTCGAAGTTACCTTCAAAAGGAAGGCATTCCTGAATCCGCAACCTGGAGACGTCCCCGATAAGTTACAGCCCAGCCACGGGGTTTCGGCTCGGTAATGACTCTGATTCGGGTTGTTTAGGATCTGATAAGCCAGTACCGGATTACTCAACACCCTTCTCGATATCCTTCAAGAAACGGGCGCACTGCCTTCAAATTTTTGTGATGAGCACTGTTGCATGCTGGGTACTTTCTGGTAGCTCTCCTGCGAGGAAACCTGTTATAATTGAGGGAACGCCGCCTCTTGATATGATTGCGTAATTGCCTGATAAGATTGTCGCTGGCACAGTTGGAGCACGCCTACGATGATGACTTGTAACGCTGGCCAATCGAACGGAGTTGCGCTGACCTGATGGCGCTAGCTTACCCGGTGAGACAGCAAATTAAGCGAGCAAGTGAACGATCCTAGCCGCACGTGTTCGGATAGACGCTGAGCATTACGGGAACATGCCGCACTCACTCGAAGCGGCGCGCTTTACCGCACTGCTCGATGGACCGCCGCTATAGTTCGGACTTCAGAAACCCGACGCAAGGCTGGACCAGTCAGTTGTAAACGGACTCACTCACGGAAACAGCGCAGTGCCCCGACCTAGAACTGCCTATTACCTGATCGGCGAACCGCAGCCTCATGACAAAGGCAACCCGG